GGAGATGCAACGGAGCATGGACCTATTCTCCGCCGCCTGCGAGAACTTTGGGCTGGTCATTAACACGCAGAAGACGGTGGTGATGCACCAACCGCCGCCCAACTCAGCCACAGCCCCCAACGCGCCGCCGCAAATCAGCGTGAACGGAAATCAACTGCAAGATGTAGAGAACTTCCCGTATCTGGGCAGTACCCTCTCCCACAACACCAAGATTGATGACGAAGTCGCCAACAGGATCTCGAAAGCCAGTCAAGCCTTCGGTCGTCTCCGAAGCACAGTTTGGAATCGCCACGGTCTCCAACTGAGCACGAAGCTGAAGATGTACAAGGCCGTCATCCTGCCGACGTTACTGTACGGAGCAGAGACATGGACGGTGTACACGAGACAGGCACGCCGACTGAACCACTTCCACCTCAGTTGTCTCCGTCGCATCCTGAGGCTGAACTGGCAGGACCGAATCCCCGACACGGAAGTACTGGAACGAACGGGAATCCTCAGCATCTACGCCATACTGAAACAAATGCAGCTGCGCTGGAGCGGCCACCTGGTGCGCATGGACGACGAGCGACTACCCAAACGACTCTTCTACGGAGACGTCGCGACGGGTTCTCGTCGTCAAGGAGGCCAAATTCGCCGTTACAAGGATACTCTGAAGTCCTCCCTGAAGCGCCTGCAAATCAACCCGACCAACTGGGAAGAGCTCGCTCGCGATCGTCCGACATGGAGGAGAACAGTGAAGACGGGCGCTGCTATCTATGAAGCCAACCGAATCGCCGCCGCCAAAGTGAAACGCGAAGCCCGCAAATCACAACTTCGCCCAGTCCGCAACGCCGCCGCACAACCGCTCCCAAAGTGTCCTCGATGGCAACGGACATTCCGGGCACGAATCGGACTTGTTGGACATCTCCGAACCAACTGCACCTCTCGAACTGCTCCAGCCATCGTCCCCCCGCCCGCCTCTTCCTCGTCCTCTCTTCCGCCAACTAACTCTGACACTCCTTCTGCACCACCAATTCCATCCTCCTCGTCCTCGTCGTCCTCCTCCCTCTCCACTGCCCCAGCGGCGGCCGTTCAGACTGCTGTCTCACACATCACCAACACCAACACACCAACCAACATCACCTCTCCCGATTCCAGTGATGAGGATCAGGACTACACCTGCCCTCACTGTGACCGCACCTTCACCTCACACATCGGCCTGGTCGGTCACTTGCGAATCCATCGCACAGAGACTGGCGAACCAGTGCCTGGAGCACCAACCTACACCCACCGCACTCGCCTCCACTGCCCACAATGCCCTCGCACCTTCACTCATCGCATGGGTCTATTCGGCCACATGCGCATCCACCAGAGCGGAATTGACCGCAGCCTTGACACATCCACCCCGCCGAGCCCCACTCCCAATCCACCACCTTGTGCACCCCCTAACCACTCCCCAACCGACATCGACGCCACCGACCTTACCACCCCTCACTCCCCCCCCTTCCTCCTCCACTTCCTCCATCACTGCCACAACGACGGCCGCTTCGGCGTCTGTCGCCCACGACTTCACCACAGCCGAACCTGACACAACAACAGGCACAAGCCCTGCAACCTCCATCACCAGACGTGAGGGCCAGGGCTACATCTGCCCTCACTGCGATCGCACCTTCACTTCACGCATCGGCCTGGTCGGTCACTTGCGAATCCATCGCACAGAGACTGGCGAACCAGTGCCTGGAGCACCAACCTACACCCACCGCACTCGCCTCCACTGCCCACACTGCCCTCGCACCTTCACGCATCGCATGGGTCTATTCGGCCACATGCGCATCCACGACGACCTGCGGTAGACAACCGCCGGTCACACCACACATTCCCTCACTCTCTACC